CCCCCCCCCCCCCCCCCCATCAATTCCCCTTCGGGTCCCTTTACTCGGGCAGTGAAATCTCGTCCCGCCGCCCAACTTTGAACGTCCCCCATCCAAGCAAATAATGTCGGACGTGGTGCTTTCCGCCGCTCGCATTGAGCTTGTCGAATGGCACGACAGAAAACACGCGTCTTCTTTTCATCAGAACGGAGAGAAGAGGCGCGCTTTCCAACTGGAGGCGAGTACCCAGGTGAGTAACTAGATGACTGAGCTCCGGTCATATCTACTCTTCCTGCCTGCCTGCGTGCTTGCAGGAGCTGAAGAAGCGGCCTGCCCGCAACCGTGCTCTGGGGCAAGGAAACCTCCACACACCCACCGCCACCCCTGTGTGATGCACACGTATGCATACGTGTGGCTGACTGACTAGTGAGAGCCGCAGACAGAAACAGAGAGGAGAGCAGTGGGGGTGGGGCGGGGGGGACGCAGAGAGGAGAGCAAAGGGGGGAGAAAGGTTCCATGTGTGCATGCGTCTGTATCCGTCGATCGCTGCTGCGTCACTCTCTTACCAGCTGACTGCTGCCCCCTACACTCACCCTCACACTCGCTGCCGTGCATTCCATCCCATTGTCCATCGTCCGTCTACCCATCTACCCATCTACCCATCCATCCGCAGGTCTGCCTCTGCCCCTTCTTGCTACTTGCCACTTGCGTGTCCTCTGTCGCCCGTCTCGTGTCTCACAGACAAACACACACACACACACACCACGTCGCTGTCGGGGCGGGACTCGTCAGGGGCTTGGGAAGGGTGTATACGAGGGCATTGGGGCTTGTCTCAGCTCATTGCTGCCTGCATTTTATATCCGTCGGCTGTGCTTCTCGCTCGTGACTGTCGGCCAGCGGGTGAATGGGCGAGTGGGTGGATGGATGTGTGTGAGCCAGGGACGAGGAAAGGCACGAATGGTGGCGTCCTGTGATGAACAAATGGGCGCATTGCAGACAAGAACAGAGCTGCTGTGTGTCTCCATTTCCTTCATCATTCAGGAGCTCTCATGGTTTAGAAGGAAAAGCATGCAGTAGATTGGGTGGCATGCATGCGTAGACCGATGTATGCGAATTCGGATGTGAAACAGCAAGCACTGCTGCAGTCAGCCAACTGGTGTGGAGACAGCCTGAGGAACACATTCAGACGTACGCCCCCAGGGACCCTCATTCCGAGTGGCACGTCCTCTTCCTTTTTCCCACTTTTCTCCCATCGCTCCCTTTCGCATCATCCCCTTTTCGTTGCCCCCTGAGGAGACTGCATCGCCTCCCTCCCGCACAACGTCGTTGAGGAGACTGCATCCCCTCCCTCCCCCCAACATCGTGAGGAGACTGCATCGCCTCCCTCCCGCACAACGTCGTTGAGGAGACTGCATCCCCTCCCTCCCCCCCAACATCGTGAGGAGACTGCATCCCCTCCCTCCC